GCTGCAGCCGCTGCCACTGCATACTACCCCATACATACTCCTCTTCCCCATCCATCACTACGCCACGAGGTCTTCACCCTACTCTTCCACAAGTCTTGTCTTTAGTACGACTGCTAATATCCAAAGTACTACTTACCACACAGCAGCGCTATCCATTTCCCCTACCATTTATCCCATTCTTCTTTCCTCGTTTCATAACATAAATTATATACATCTCATTTATTAGCAATCCCTTCTGCCAGTTCCCCGCTTTTTCGGCCGTCTCAACGAGAACTCGTGGCTACCAGAGCCAAAAATTTCCAGCCCTTCCTTTTCTCCCCGTTTCTTCAGAGTTTAGAATCCTTCTTGTCTCATTTCCTCTTTGCGGTGCCCATACGAAGTTCGAAACGCTCTAGCCCGAGCATTGATCGATAGTTCCCGCTGCTAGGCTCGCCCCAATCCTCTCCCAAGTCCCGACTCCCAAGTCTAAACTATCAAGACACGAGGAGAGAGCCAAGTTTCCCAGGTGTCCCCATTTTACTGCTTGCCCTTTTTCTCGGGTCAAGGCAGTCTGTTAAAGTCCAGAACGACGACAATTCCCGCCTTCGCTACCTTGTCTCTCTCCTCTCTTCCTCGTCAAAAGTATTTGCTCTTCGCATCCACCCGGTTTGTGTCTACGGACAGGGTCTGGTAAAGAGTTCTACAACCGATCTGGCCCTACTTCGCTCTTCCTGCCCAATTGTTTATCGTCATTCGCCTTGCAAAACCTCCCCTGTGCCACGTTTCACCACGCCTCCCGACGTTCCGAGCACGCTGTGCTTTTCGCAACTGGTAAGCTCTTGTGCGATCGATTGCTTGAAGATCGTGCTGCCCTTCCCACTGTCCTTATTATTGGTTACTACCTTTTTTCTCTGGCAAATTCTGTCGATCCAAACTGACGCGACTCTGACTTATTCAGAGAGGAATATTGCCCGAGTATACGAGTCTAGCGTCGTTTTCTGCTTTTCTTTGTTCCCTTCGTTGGTGCGCCGGTGGTCTCGACTGTACTACTGAGATCCGGCCATTCTGCCACTGTCCTCCACCTCTCGTCCTTCCCGCCGACCACTTAGAGCATCGCTCTGACCACAAACGACGGGCCCGCCTGCACGCAACCACCCGTTCGACAATCTCCTTGTTTCTTCTTCTGTTCGACTTGAACTTCGCAGTCTTGCGCAGTGCGAAAATCTTCTTCGTGTGGTTTCGATTGCGCTGCGCCCTTTTTTTCCGTCCGTGTCGACCGAGCCCTGGGATTGCGCCAACTGAAAAAACGCCCCCAAGTCGCATCGACGAGCGGGCTGCGTTTTAAGGAGACCCGAACTTCACCAATCGTGATCACTTGAATTGTTATCATAAATTGGAAGCTGATATGCGGATTGCGACCGTCATCGTTCTGAATTAGCCTCGCGAGGGACTCTCTTCTACCTTGGCAGCGTGACTGGCATTCTTCGATACACCGAGCGTGAAACAGTTCCCGTCGCATTCGGATTCTCTCTATCCTTCGCTGCGACGACAATCGCTAGCACATTGACTTCACTGCTCCTTCTTCGTTCTGGGACTATATAATTCCTGCCCTCCAGCCATCGAGTGTTTACGTGACCTGTCGCCCGGATTATGAAATAGTTTAAGCAACGTGACGTATCACACCTTATAAGCCATCATCGGAATAACCACGAATTTTCGCCATTATCACCACTCGAAACCTCTCGTCCTCTGCCATGGAAACCACTCTCGCCCATCGACCGTGGGAACCTACCACAACAGGGCCGCAGAATGCTCCGGCCTCTTCTGCGCAAACATTACCCTCGATTTCAACTCTCACCGCAAGTATGGCCAGCAATATACCTCTTCCCGCAGAGAAGTCGCCAGGGAACGCCTCGTTGAACACGATAGAACGCGACTCGGGAAACTGGTCTATGCCTCAAAGCACAAGTATGATTAGTTGTTCTACATCTGCCATGTCAGGGACTGACAACCTACCAGGGTCGTCCACCTACTCCACGGCCACAAACGGAACCGGCAATTATCCCTCTCTATCGTTCCTCACTTCCTCTCATCCGTCCCCGAATCGTGGTTCTATCTCCGAGCGATCTCCCTACCCGAATGACCACTCGAACACGAATACCCCTTCTTCTGCCGGCGCTCATCCGTCCCCCAATTTTGGCTCCCAGACGAATCCAGCCCTTCCATCCCTCAACCAGAATTTCGACGCTCCTTCTCAACGCGGCAGCATTGCTGAGCCACCCGAATCGCGGCGCAGCAGTGTTGATAGTAGGATGAATCAGGGAATCAGCTCCCTGGCCATCAATCCCGCCTCTCCTTACCACAGCACAAACGCCTCCCAGACATCAATTGTGTCAGGATTGCAGAGGGAACGTGGAATTTCCATGGACGTAAATATGAACAATTCATACCGAGGACCCCGCTACTCCGGGAGCCAGCCCCTCTCTCCCCTTGGCCCACGAGCCGGAGAGCACCGTAGCTTTGCGGCTGGCCGCACTGCTCCCGCGATTTCATCAAATCCTCGCTCCGAAATTTATGCTGCAGAGACGCCTACCGCCGGTCTTGCCTATGCCTTTCCCGACCCGGATGTTGCGCGATCAAATTCGATGTCTTCCACAAACGATAAATCTCAGCATCCATTCTCAAGGAAGGGAAGCACCGCCGAATCATTGGCCAGTAGTATCTACTCGGATGCGCGATTGCCTCGTGGCCAACATGGTAGGCTTACACTTTTTGTTCTCTGATAGTGCAATTCTAGCTTGTAAACAACTTTGCTGACTGCCCTCTAGAACTCCCTCAGAATGTCCACCACCATACTCTGCAGCACAAACAAGTACGCGATCTCATCGGAGACCCAGAGCCGCCGACCAGCAGTACTCCGTACAGCCGCACGCCCGAGCTGCGAGTAACTCACAAGTTAGCGGAGCGCAAACGTCGCAGTGAGATGAAGGACTGCTTCGAGGCACTGCGCATGCGGTTACCTCAGAGCCAAAACAACAAATCCAGCAAATGGGAAACCCTGACAAGAGGTACTGGTTTTGTCACCGCTTCTTTGATCGCCTTTATACTGACTTTCGTCTAGCGATCGAGTACATTGGACAGCTGGAGAAGATGTTAAGTAATGCCCGTCGTGAAAACGACGTGTTGAGGAGCGAGGTTGAAGAGATGCGAGCTCAGCTGAATCAGCAACAACAAGCACACCAACATTCACGGCCTCCATCAATATTCGAGCACCACCCAATGAACGGACCACAGGCCAATGGACAGTCGCATGGCCCTGGTCCGGCCTTCTCTAATTATGGCCCTAATTCCTCTACAATGATGCAAGATCAACCACGCACATTGCCTCCCCTGGTGAACGGCCCCGTTGCTCCGATGCAGGGAGTGCAATATACCGACGACCGTCGGTAGTCTGGCATCCTAGCAAGGCCCTTGATTTGAATTTTGATACCTCCGCCTCACCCACCTTCAACATAGCGGCAATTTTGTCTCGTGTGCAGCTACATACTTTTGATATTTTCTTTTTCTTCCGACTCTGGGCCCTAGATCTGAAACGGTATGTTACTCGCCTGTAGATCTCATTCGGGTGGTGTATCTTGTTCTGAGCGAGACTTTGTCTGTTTGGCCTTTTGTTCTATCACTTTTGCCCAGGGCAATTCATACCCCGATCATCATTCTTATTTTCGTTCTCTGATCTCATGATATAGTTTTTCAAATATTGTGTGAGGATGTGTATGTGTTACAACGACGGACCACTGTTTTTTGCACGCTCCGACTTTCTCTATTCTCGCTTGTCTCTATTGATGTGTCCTATTTTCTTGCATCATGACATGTTTACTTCGTTCTGCATGGGAGATGGGATTCGCCAAGAGCAATTGATTTTGGGTATGGGATACATTTGATGGCATCTTTCTATCCGTCAAAGAACTCGACCAATGGGGTTGACGATGTTTCTGTATGATCTGTTGAAACAGAATAAAATTTACAGTTTTCAAAATAGCAACATGAAGCCCTCGTCGGGTGTTTTGTATAAGGTGTGAGATGTAGGACAAGAGTATTCCGGAAATAAACAGACTCCAGGACGACGAGTCTGGGTATATTACGCCATCCTCTGGCAGACTCAGTCTCTCTGCGAATAAAATCAAACCGGTTCCTGGCTCTATTTTTGGACAATCTGCTTCTGATTGGCACTCTTGCCTCCTAATAACCGTGCCATTCCTTCTCTCTAAGCGCCCGGCCAGAGTCGAGTGCAGGGCGGCTACAGCTTCGTCAGGACACCCAGCGACCCAATGATATCGTTGAAATCCCATCTTCAACCTCATCCTGCAGAATCTAGTAGTCGACCTCAGTCCAATCAAGAGATTTGGACCGGCAAAATGCAACAGTCACTGTAGCAGCTATGGAGCTCGGAGATTTGCCTGCGTCGTGTGTTGATGCAGGACGAGGTCAACACAATGCTTCATTGGTGTGGTGGGCAGGTAGGTACCTGAAGCATGGGCTCTAGAACCATCGCTAGTAAGGTAGCTATTCATTTCTGCAGAGTTTCTTGCGTTCTGGTCTTCTTTTTCTTTCACGCATCCGTCCGGCTTGTTCTTGCAGGGTACTTGACCGTCTATTTGTTTGCTTTGGGGTACTTTTACTTTCTCTTTCATATCTGCGGCATCTCTTCATTGTTTCCGTGTGATGAGAACAATAGCGGATTCATTGTTGCGTTGTTTCATTCAGTGGTTATAGTCTCTTTTTATTCACTGGTTTCTTGCATGTGCTTTGTTCAGTCTCTTATACTCTCGAATTACTTTGTCGGATCCGGTCCAGAAGAACTTCCTGCTTTTCCTCTGAAGACTCCTGCGGATTTTGTCCTACAACGTACTGGCTTGCTATTAAGGCTTCAAGTCTGTCCTGGTATGTCGTGGGACTGCAGAAACATATACTGAAACAGAGGCGCTCAAGTCTAACACGCTTTCGTACAGTCAAGAGAGGAGATGGCTCCTCAACCGAAAAGGCCAGAAATGCAGCTGCAGATTCCCCAAGTCCCAAATTTTCCACTATCATCCCCGATCACTGAGGAGATCTCCAGCCCGGCTGCGTCCTCAGATGAAGACAGAGAGATGGAACGGAGTCGTCCCTTCGACTACCTGACCAAAGTGTCGGACAAGAACCCGTTCCTTAAAGCAGAATCCACAGGCACGGGGCGAGATCGTTTGGTTGAACGCGAGATCGGTGTGTTTGATACTGTGCGGAGACCGGCGCAGGGGGGTAAACCCAAGGGGTTGAACTTGATCACGGATCTCCCGATTGGAGTTCCCAAGATACAACCTGGGGCCGCCGGTGCTGCCTTTGTGGATCTGAATGATCTGAAGGTGTTGTCAAAAGTTCGTGAGAGGGAGTGGGCCTCGCAGAAGATCAGAGGCATCTTGAAGAACGGGACGGCTCAAGGCTTCCAGCGACTACCTGACGAGACTTCTGAGCCGGGGAGGAGGCGATTGTCCTGGCTCACGTCGGAGAGTACAACGTCGCCGAAGAAGAAGAAGAAGAAGTATAAGGACGAGCTGTCGCCTTCTGATCGGCCCATCATGATCGGGTATACGGTACCGTTCGAGGAGTCGTCGCAGTCTCAGGATGACGGAAGAAAGGGACTGGACAGTGCTGGAAGCCAGCGTACGCCTATGACGCCTTCGATTGTTGTAACGCCTGCAAAAGACGAGGGTTTCTGGCAAGGACTTGCCCCAGAGTTTCATCGTGCCAGAGCCACCTCCAGTATCTATTCTCAGCGCACGTCATTCACTGGAAGTGGCAGGCCTGTGATTCCACCAGTTCCGGCCATACCGGCGTCCCATTTCGAGGAGAAGGGGAATCAGCCCGACGTGTCTCGACGGGAGTCTGTCCTATCAACAAGGAAGCAACGCTCATTCTCAACTGGTACGGTGTTTGAGGAAGAAGATGGTCCACGACAGGGACTGCGTGCTCGTTCTTTCTCCACGGAGAGCTCGAAGAGAGGGCTGGATCGACTGAGTGTGATGACGGAGACCAATCGACACCAATCCCAGGGCTGGTGGACTTACCTCCTGTCGCCTATGCTGGGACGGTCGAGCACGATAGCCAGTAGATCAACACCGACCAGAACGGAGCGGCCCCCCATGCCGACGCTCCTCATGAACTCGACGGTGTCAAGCGATGAGTGGTGGGAGAAGGAAGTCTCGTACTTTTCGCCAGATACCCCCGAGACCACCGTTGCTGCTAGAGGCGAAGTGACCAATTGGCAAGAGGGTGATGCTAACCCCTTCGCGGATGTCTATACCACCGATGAGAAGAACACAGCCGAGATGATGTTCCAGGGGGAGTCGATCCAGGGCGCAGCTGCTGAATACTACCAGGCCTGTGCCCACGAGCTATTCAGCGGAAGGCCGTATTTCGAATGCATCAACCATGTTTGTTCCATCACGCCAAAGGATAGGATCCCGGTTCTGCTTGCCGGCTCTATTGCCGAATCAGAGAATAACGAGAAGAATCTCCTTATCGACGTGGAAGGCGATGTGTCTCAATTAGCTCCTGTGAATCCTTTTGAGAGCGCCTCGCAATCTGGCGCTCGTACGATATCCGGGACCACCGCTGTGGATGACCAACCTGCGTCTCCTTTGATTTCAAACACGGGAAAGAAGTATCTGGAGGAGGACACACCAAAAGAATCAAGAGGCCATTCTCCTGAGCCAGAACCCATCGAGAGAGAGCCTCCTGTCTGTGCAGGTGATCGACCGGAGAAACAAGCCTCTCACCTCATTTTCCAACCAACGAACACTATCGGTCCTGCGGCCACAAACATTAACATCCAACCATCTGAACCTCGACCACCGGCCTCTGGAGCTCCGCAGGAGAGGATCATCCCTCAATATATTGTTGTACCACCTCAGAATCATGGCGGAGGCGGGCATCCCCAACCACAAACACCCGATGCCACGTCTCCTGGTCTACAGCAAGCAACAGCGAGGAGTGGTTCAATTCCATTGACCGAGATAGCTTCTGGACCAGCTCCAGTCTATACCGCCCATCGCAGCGCGTCTCCTACACTGCCGCCTCGTATAGACCCTGCCCCCATCACTCAGGAGCAGATGACGCACCCTTGGTTCGAAAGGGAGAGGATTGAAACGCGACGACGAAGACTGGAAAAGGAGGATGCTATTGGCAGGAAAGCCGGTGGACTCTGGCGAGGCAGAGGTTGTTTCAGTAACAAAGGCTGCTTCGGCAGGCCGGGAAGAGAAGGCCGCCTGAAACGTCGGTGGTATATGGCGATCACGACCTTTTTTGTCCTGATTGTGGTAGTTGCTGTTATCCTGGCGGTCATGCTGACCAGGAAAGGGGATGGCACACCTGTTCAGTCGCAGTGGCTCAATTTGACCGGCTATCCACCGATGCCGACTGGCATTGCGACAATCGCAGGCTCAGAGCCACAGACCCAAAATTCAGGATGCATCACTCCATCTACACTCTGGAGCTGCGCTCTGCCGCCGGAACAGCAGTCAGGCAACAAGCCGTACGCGCCGAATCAGCCCAGCTTCCGAGTCGAAATACGATTCCGTAACGGGACCTATGCGAACAGCACAACGGTTGCCTCCACTTCAAGCCACAAGACCAGAGATATGAATGGATCATTCAACCCATCGCCATCTCCCCCGAGTATCAAAGACCAGACCTTCCTGGGCAATACGACTGAACAGAACGCCATCCCCTACGCAGGTGAAGAGACCCCCTTCTTCATCACCATCCTCTCGACCGCCTCCCTCCGTTCATCCCGACTATCCCGCCGATCCAACAGCTCCTTCCCAGACATCGAGTCCCTCATCCCATCTCCCGATCTCAACTCCGATGGCACAGCCGCAGCCACTACCCTCTATCCACTCCCTGAATCCCAACCCGTACGCCTTTATAACCGGGGCCAGGACACAGAACACTACGGCTTCTACACGTACTTCGACCGGTCCATCTTCCTCGAGACCCTTGCCCCCCTCAACGGCAGCACAACAGACAACTCCGCCGCAGACGCCAACGGCGGTGCCAGCGAGACTGACGCCCGCGTCCGCTGCACATGGGCACAGACTCGCTTCCTCGTGCAGATCTGGACGCAGCCGAGTCGCGCGCGCAAGACGCTCCTCCGCAGTAGTCCTAGCGCTAGCGCTAGTCCTAGTACCACACCCACCCTGTCTTTCCTGTCATCTACCTCCCCCGCCTCAGGGACCAGCAGCCCAACTGCGTCCTCCTCCGCCACGGACTTCGTCCGGCCGGGGTCATTCCCGTACCCGGTGACCATCACAGTGGACCGACACGGCGGTGTCGCGAAGGAGAAAATGGTGTACTGCTACGCAATGGAGGAGAACCAACGTGTCAACTCGACGGAGAAGAAACTGCAGATTGAGGACAGGGGGTTCGGTGGGAAACTGGTCAACCCTGCGCCGGGTATATTCAACCTCACCTCCTCGTCGGACGAGGTCGCAATGCAGGATGGAGTTGATGGTGGGACGGGGGGTTGTTCGTGCCAGTGGGTGAATTGGGTTTCTACGTCGTGATCTTCGAGCTGCATCTAGAGAAAAGTCATTGTCATTGACACCATAAGTACATGTGTCTTGCAGTTTTGTCAGAATCATGGTTGTTCATGTAGAGAAAAGCTGGACTTTGATCTCGAATTGATTAATGATTAATTTGAATTGTTTTACATAGATCCCTGACGCCACGTATGATTGTCCAACAGATTGGCCCATAGCTAAACCAACACCTCATATTAATAACATCATAGCTGATCCCTTCATCTACCCGCCGACATCGTGTCAACTAATGTCAACGACATCCGCTCAAACGAGAACCATCAAGCCAATGGCAAGACTACCTAGAGCAGCGAGGCCAGGCACCACGAGGGTGGAGCCCGGGTTGGTATGACGGGCCGTGGTGGGTTTAGCGCTTTCTTCAGCGTCGTCATTGCTGCTGCTGCTGCTGCTGCTGCTGCCGCCGCTGTCACTGTGGCTGCCACTGCTGTGGCCGCGACTGGTGCTCGACTCCTCGCTGGGATCAACGAGACCAACGTAGTCGCCAGTGCCAGTAGCCTTGGGACGCGCGGCAGTCGAGATGCCGGCGGCGGAGGAACTAGCAGCGGCGGAGGAGGATGCGGCGGCGGTGGGCTTGATGAGAGGGATGCTTGTCGTCTCGGCGGGATGGGCATCCGCGCTGGAGAGAACGGTGGGGACCTCATCGCTCTCGGTTGTTGCGGGGGTGTTGGTCTCGGTGGCGGAGACCTCTTGATCGACGACGGGGGTGGCGTTTTCGGTTGGGGTAGTGGTTACTTCGGTGCTAGTGGATGTCTCGTGTGCTCTTCTGTATAGGCTTGCGTTGGCGCTGGCGGCGAGGGCCAGGCCGGTGATAAGCTGAGCGGAGACACGCATTGTGGATTTTAATGTATGAAGATGGAGAATAGATGTAGAGATAATTTGAGTTGAAGCACGGTGCTAGAAGAGTCTGAGGCAAGGTGCAAGTTGCGAAGGTCAAGGAAATCAGTATAGAGTATCACAGACGCAATAGATGCTTGATAGAAAGGATAGCAGGTGTTGAACGATGTCGAGGGGAAGCTGATCAAAGAAGCCTTGAGGTTCTTATAGACCAACGAGGATCCTTAATGCGGCTTCCCTCGAGTGTATTCGATGGTCAAGCGCATCCATGTTCGTCCTCGTTCAACCAGAGGGCTATTCCTGAATAGGTTGATCGTCAACACGCAGAGTACTGCATCTGGAAGAGCACAGACTGAGCAAACACATGATTGTCCATTTCTAGAACCTGCCTAGGACCATCCCTTGTAAAACACTGCCTGCAGAAGTCTTTCCAGCTGCAGATGTTGATCGCCTCCAAGAGGAATGTTGTGGCACGTGATATACGGCTTCAGGGCTGCTTCAACCCTATCTTCCTCATCGCCGGAAACGGAAAACAGTGTTGCCAACAAACAAACGAACGGATTCAGTTCACTCATGGCAGCTCCTTGCATAAGCCTTTGTTTCCGGTATAACTTGTCCAAAGAAGCACTCCCAGCCAGAAAGGACCGGAATGTGGCCTGGACTGCGTTCTTTGACTTCCCCGCAATCAGCTCCTATCACCTGAGTAAGCATATACGCATCTCCTTCAAGAGTCGATTCGTGATTTAAAGATTTCATGCAATTGACAGAGTTGGAAGACGGCTGGAGGAGATTTTACTGCAATGATATGGTTAACGACCAGCATAGGCTGGCGGTATAAGACCCCGGGTATATTGCATATGCTGGATTGTATGACCGACGGATATTAAGTGACAGCCCTAGACAAACAAATCTCTTATATTGCCAGCGGAAAGGTTGCTGCAGGGACTCAGAAACACTTGCTCTAGCCGTTTATCTTCAATGGACTTGCTGAAGGCCAGCCTCATGGGTCCGACGAGTTCCTGTCCCTCATGACATGTTCTGGCGGTATAGAATTGAGCATATCCAAATCAAGCTTGGGGCGTCTGATTTGTAAAATGTGATAATTGGGCTGCAATAGACACCAGTTATCTATCTGTCCATACGCTCATTCTTCTCGATATCGATGTTAAAGAGAACTGAGTCTCCGAGAAGTGTTGATCGATGGAGATACGTAGTGGAGAGGTGGGAAGAGGCGCTAATCTGGATTAGGTAAGGCAAGGCTGATCCACTTCGACATTATTATGGACGAAGCCACTTGAGGCGATGATTATCGTCTACGGAGTATGCTGGTTGCCATCAACACTCGAACCCTCACTTCTGCAATTTCTACTCTGTGTATGTCATGACAAAGGACCTGCAGGACCATGCCTCCGAGACCTGATCTTCTCAGTCCCTCTCTCCTCTCCCCGGGTGATTACGACGATGATGCCTCCTCCTTGCGATCCCTATCAGAGCAGGACTCTGACCCCGACGATGACGAATTCCTTCGCAAGACTCGCACTACACTAGAGCTAGCCGAGCATGATCGTGCAGTCCTGGAAGAGGAGGAAGAGATGGAGAAATTGTTGGTCAGAAGCGGGCCAACTCATGGTCTGCGACGAATCTTCAGCCCGAACGGCAGCAGCGTCAAGATCGGGAAATACGAGCGGAATCGGGACCGAAGGAGGAAGCGCCACGATGAGCGCAAACGGCGCCGTCGTAGTGCGGCAGGAGAAAACGGAGAGCTAATGTACGAGATGGAAGAGGGCTATCGAGAGTCCGAATCCTCTCTGCTGAGCGGCTCGTCATCGGAGCTAGACCAGCGCCTGGAGAAGCAGTATGCGGATATTCGAGTAAGGGCGGACTCTTAATTCGTTTCTGTCCGACTCAAACTGCTAACCTACTGTAGCCACGGCGAATTTCTAGGACGAAATTGGTACTGGTCTTTGCGGCGGTCTTGGTTTTGTTCCTTATATTCCTGCTGGGTGCATATAAAGCCTCCAGTGGCTTCCGGGCTTCGCATTCTTCCCAGCATCTGCTTTCCAACGGCTCCGCTCTCTTTGGTCCTACTACCATATTAGTTTCCCTGGATGGGTTCCGTGCGGACTTCCTCGATCGTGGTCTCACGCCGACACTGAATGCGCTGATCGCCGAAGGCGTTTCGCCACAATATATGCTCCCCAGCTTTCCCAGCGTCACATTTCCAAACCACTTCACTCTGGTTACGGGCTTATATCCAGAAAGCCACGGTATCGTGAGCAACACTTTTTGGGATCCTGCCCTAAAGGAAAATTTCCACTACACCAACCAGTCAATCAGCATGCAGCCTAAGTGGTGGAATGCCGAACCCTTGTGGATGACCGCCGAAAAGCACGGCCTTAAAACCGGGATTCATATGTGGCCTGGCTCCGAAGCGCACATTGGAGGAGTAGACCCAGCATATTTGGACAAGTACAATGGGTCCGAAGAGCTCCCGCGAAAAGTCGATCGGATCCTGGAGCTGCTCGACTTGCCAGGCGGGGAAGAAGAGTCCTTGATTGTCCCTGAGCGACCGCAGTTCATCGCTGCATATGTTCCCAATGTTGACGCAGATGGGCACAAGTTTGGCCCCAACAGTACTGAGATCCGAAGTACAATATCACAGGTTGACAGCATGTTGGCTGAGCTGATGTCTGGCCTTCGAAGCCGCAATCTGACCGATATTGTCAACCTTGTTATTGTTTCTGATCATGGTATGGCCACAACTGCCACGGAACGGTTGATACAACTGGATGATTTTATTGAGCTTGGTCTGGTCGATCGTATTGACGGATGGCCATTGCGCGGTATCCGGCCGAGAAAGCCTGAGGATCTTGAGATCCTGCAAAAACAGCTGGAAAACCTGACGCTACAATACCCACATGCGGTGGAAGTCTACACACGGGAGACAATGCCTGAGCGATATCACTTTTCCCACAATGACCGAATTGCTCCCCTTTGGGTAATCCCTAAGACCGGATGGGCGATCGTCGAGCGACCAGACTTTGATGCTCAAGAGGCCATCCGAACTGGAAGAGTTTATCATCCAAAGGGTGTTCATGGTTACGACCATGAGCATCCTCTGATGCGCGCCATCTTCATTGCTAGGGGGCCTGCGTTTCCTCATCCACCCAACAGCCGGCTGGAAGTTTTCCGTAAGCGAATTTTCTCCTACAGCAGAAAGATCGAGTATAAGCTAACATGGGTGCAGAGAATATCAATGTGTATAACTTGGTCTGCGATTCTCTGGGGATTGATCCGCTCCCCAACAATGGAACGATGCGCCTTCCTCTACAGCCAGTGGGCCTTCATTCTGATGAAGATGCGCCGATTGTCGACAAGCCTGCTGACCCTCCGATCAGCAGCGCTAGCGTGAGCGTAGTCCCCTCGCAAACCATGACACCGGCCTCAACACCATCAGAGGTGTCGTCAACAGCTCTTATCCAGCCAACTTCACCATCTGAAAATGAGCCCAGCTCTGAGCCGCAAAACGAACCGGAAAGCGACGACGAGCAGGGCCCTACTTGGTGGGGAACCCTCTGGAGCAAAGTTGAGGAGCTCAAGGAATGGGCTACTGATATAATTGAGACCGTCAAGGACAATATTGCGTAAATGTGGATAGACGGGCGATGTTACGAGGGACGTTGATTCATTTCCTGGAGCGTTCCATGTTGATAGAGCCGACTATTGTCGGAGTAATAATCTAGATACCCCTTTGCTTGTTTGATGAATGCATGTTCAATCCACCCTAGAAGCATGAGTAAACACTAACCCATCAATCATGGACCAGAGACCAAACTAAACCCACTTGGAACCCCGATGTCTAACTTTGCTCACTATAAATGTGGACCATCGCCCGATCAGCTGTGGACCTACGGCCAGTTAACTAAAGCGGCGCATCTCGATCGTCGAATGGCTCCGCAGCACTGAGTCAGTCCGGCGCAGTGCCGCCCGACTTTTGCCCAACTTGATCTCCGACGAGGTCCACCTAGCCTCTTACTCATTAGAATGTAGTCATAAGCGCGGCACAGTCAGTTAAAATGACGCCGCCGTGACACTGGCCTTTCTGCATGGGGCTTACGATCATGAGGCTCTTGCTGTGGGCCCAGGCCAGCCTTGTTGATGCTGCCTATTGTTTCCGCCGTGCAACATGCGCGCGGACCTACAAGGCTACCGGCCTATAAAGGCCTGAGAAACCTATATAATGAGCGATGAAGACGGGTAGTCTTCTTCCCTCTTCTTTGACTTCTCGTCGTTTTCGTGGTTGATGGCTATACCGAACATGGCGTCGTATTTGGACAACAATATCAGCAATAATAGTAGAAATGCCACCGCCATCGACACGGCTGTCCTGGACGCCTTTATACCGGGATACTCTATTCTCTCTCGCTTTCTGGTCTCGTACCTCCATATCGATCTATCGTACTACCTGCCGTTCCTTGTGATGGCGGCTGCAGCGGCCGCCTCCCTGCGCTACAGTATTAAAAAAATTATCCGTCTTCTGGGGGAACACTTCACCTCGACGGCGGAGATCCGCCTCGACGACGAAATTTATAATTATCTTATGTTCTGGATGGCGCAGCAGCCGTTCACGAAGCGGACGACGCATTTCGTCGCGGGGACGAAAATCAGCAGCGGGATGCGGTACTGGGATTCCGATAACGGCGAGGGGTCCGACGACGAGGACATCTGCGAGGACGACGACAGCAGTGGCGGCGACAACAGCGACATGCTGGCCAACTTCGATCGGTACTGGCAAAAGGTCATCAGCAAGGACAAGTACCGCACGCTGCGGTTCACGCCCGCCGAAGGGACGCATTACTTCTGGTACAAGGGGCGCCCGCTGGCGTTCATCCGGGAGCGGGAGGAGAACAACGGCGGCGTGAGTCTGCGGTGGGTGCCGGAGCGGCTGTACCTGTCGTGTCTGGGACGGGACCCCAGCATCCTCAAGGAGCTGCTGGCCGATGCGCAGCGGGCGTATGTGGCGCGCGACGGCAACCGGACGATCATCTACCGCGGGCAGAAGAGCGGGGTGGACGACTTCGACTGGGTGCGGTGTATGGCGCGGCCGCCGCGGCCGCTGTCGACGGTTGTGCTGGACGAGGCGCAGAAGCAGGCGTTCATCGACGATATCAAGGAGTATCTGCATCCGAGGACGAGGCGGTGGTATTCGAATCGCGGCATCCCGTACCGCCGGGGGTACCTGCTGCACGGCCCGCCGGGCACGGGCAAGACGAGCCTGTGTTTTGCAGCGAGTGGGCTGTTGGGCTTGACGCTGTACCTGCTCAGTCTGAACTCGAAGAGCCTCGATGAGGACAGTCTGATGTCGCTATTTTCGGAGCTCCCGCGGCGGTGTATCGTGCTGCTCGAGGACGTCGACAGCGCGGGGATCACGCAGAAGCGCGCAGAGGATGACTCCGCGGCGTCGGCCGTGCTCGTCGAAAAGGACAAGTCCAGCGCCGAGGAGAAGGAGCCCGAAACGAAGGCGAACAAGGGTGTTTCGCTCTCGGGTCTGCTCAATGTCATCGACGGAGTCGCCGCCAGCGAGGGCCGGATCCTCATCATGACCACCAACCATGCCGAGAAGCTGGATCCGGCTCTTCTCCGGCCAGGTCGCGTCGACATGACTATTGCTTTCGGATACGCTGACCGCGACGCCATGCGCGAGCTCTTCTCGGCCATCTACAGCATGCTCGAGGGTGACGCGCGCGCATCCAAGATGAAGTCACTTAGAAAAGCGTCTGGACAAGGGGAGAAAAAACATGCCGAAGCTACAGTCACCCAGCGGAAGCGGCAGCGCTTGTCAAAAGAAAAGATCGCTGAGCTGGCATCTGAGTTTGCATCACGCATCCCAGAGGGTGAATTCACCGCTGCGGAGATACAAGGCCATCTACTCAACTATAAGAATGAGCCGGAGGCTGCTATCGATGCGGTTGAGGAGTGGGTGAGAAGTGTTCGAGCCAAACGGAAGGAAAAGGAACAGTCCAAATGATAGAGACCAGTGATACCCGCAACATCATGTGCCATGGAATGATACGTTAAACAGATTGAACCATCACCATGCAGTCTGTGAAAGTTCACCCAACTGACAAACGCTTACTAAAGTCAAGAAAATGGCTAGTTTATACACTCCAATAATAAAGTCTTAGGACTGATATCAATGAGCTCATCATAAAGGCGGAAAATATGTAGTAGTATGTATAGACAGCCCAGTGGCAGAAAATATTGCAAGAAGAGTATCAACAGGACACCTCACAGCCCAATCAGTCAATCATAGAAGTGTAACCTGATCACCATTGATGGCAAGGTTCGCAGCATATGTACACCGCTTGTTGGCCTCACAGAACCCATGGAAGAGCATCCTGTCACCACATCCACAGACGGTACCTCCACCAGGTGATGTTAGTCCATAGTCACCGGTCTTGAATAGCTTCTGACCAATCTTGACATACGGGCCCGTGATGGATTTCGAGGTGGCCCATCGCACGTCGTACTTGGGATCCGTAAAACAATGTGTGGAATAGAAAAGAAAGTACGTGTCGCCGTGCAGAATCAGATTGGGAGCTTCGACCAAAGGTCCGTCGGTATCGTCACGGTCAAGTATCGGAACGGCGTCGCCAAGTGGCGTGAAGCCGTCGTCTGCCACTCTCTGCAGAAGAATCGGCGTAGATACCAGAGGAGGAACGCCGTTGTTGCAGTCTCCACCATGACCGATGCTATTGCCGTCTACTTTGAAGACAACATAGCGGCTACCGTCTTTGTCGAGGAATCCCGCCGGGTCGATCGAACCTCCCTGATCCAGCCGGCATGATAATGGCGTCTCGTTCGGCACATATGGTCCTCTGGGGTCTTTCTCTTTAGAGACAGCGACGCCCACACAGTGATGCCTCACCATCTCTTTGGCCTCGCCTGAATAGTACATAACATAATAGCCATCGTTCTGGAGTAAATCAGCAGATGCTAAGTAGAAATATACTAGAGAACATACCCTTCTGATAACGTCTGGTGCCCAATGATCTATTTCAGTCTCCCACCCTGCAAGCGTTGGCAGTGCCTCGATGTCGAGAAGAGTCCATGTGTTGAAATCTTGGGATCTAGCCACTTGGACGCGCTTGCCATTGCCGTTTGTGCTAAAGGCATACCATGCCCCTTCTGCATCCTGCACAAAACTAGGGTCCGGAAAGTCTGAATTGATTGCCATCCACGGCCCTCTGGCTCGCTTCTCAACGGGGGAAGCAAAGACAGCTGTCATGGTAAAGCCCAAGGCCCAGAATGTTGATCGAGGAACCCACATGCTTGCAGAATGGATGGACAAAAACAGAGGAGGAGATCGTCGAGTTTAATTCTGTATCAGCGAACCTCAGGCTCACAATCTGACGATCTCTCTTGGGATCAACGCAAGAAAGAATTCTACATTACGTCTGTAGAGCTCGGGATGCGTCATTGCTTTATACTCAAATGCTTTCGGCATTGCCGAGAAAGGGAGGACCGGCATTCCCAGACTGAATTGCCCTTCGACAACTATCCTAACTTAGTTTCCCTTCGACGAAATCAGCAGTCATGCGATATCGTCCCACGACAAGTATGCGGCAAGTGGATTCGAGCATTGAGATAGCGGCTGGGTCTGCTGGCCTGGACATTGGGCGCATTATGCAGCATATTAGGCAAGGATCGCTGTAGAAACAACATTTGGTATCATCGGACATTTACTGGGTCATCAACATAAACAACAATAGTCAGCAATATTGAACCATGTTTGGGCCGTCGTTTGGCTAAGGTGGCGCATATTTGTCGTTCTGAGCAATGGCCGAGAGACTAATGCCCATACGACTGTAACACTCGGTCACTGGGTCCTCGTGGATCTTACAGAGCCAAGGAATTTCAATAAGCCTGTAATCTGTATGGTGGAGCAAGCAGTTGTGATGACCCGGAAAAGCGAATGCAACAACCTGCAAATCCACTATCATCTGAAGACTCAAGAATATCCGAAAACGGCAATCGAAGCATGAGTTGTGGAGAAGTCCCGATGCCGAGCTGCCGATCATTTTGTGGGGACTGGCATCTATCAAGCCCTGACGATTCAGTAGCAGGAATATGTCCTTTATCATGGCACACGGATGATATGCTCCGACACTGTGACCTGTGAATGGTGCATTGAGAGCGCATTATTCGCTCAGGGGAGCGACGCAAGGGCGATGCAGACCGCCCATACCCGAAAAATGTGGCTCGCTCGGGCTATTAGTGATGAGGATCGAGGCCTCTGTGGTGGACCTGGTGAAAAAAAAAGGGTGAGCGAATAGTTACTGCAAGGAGTAACATACGAGAGGCTCCCATGTCAGTTCGGTTGGACGCACTTACAATAGGGTCGCTCCAGAGAACTTTCCAATGCTTCTGCATTTTTTCCCTCAAGTACTAGCGCGCCGTGGACACCAGACCCTTGCTTGTCTCCTGCCGGTCGGTATGATTCAAGCCAATCACAATAGTCGAGACGTCCAAACACCATGCATGATCTGGTGTCAGACGTTTTCGGAAAGTCAGATAAGTTGAACAAATAAACAGTGTTGTGTTTGACCAATATGAACACAAGAGGCTAACGAAATCCATGTACCATGTGACTTAGCGATTCCCAGCAGTCCAGCCGGCGAGTTTGTCCTCTTCTGGAGAAGCAGAATAGTAGGGTTTTGCCCGATTCTCAAGTCGACCAAATGGCACCAGGCTTAGAAGAAGTGCCGTCCATCAGAGTCGCAACACATGGCCAAGTGCGCAAGGGACCCCTGCGTATGTAAGGTTTGCATGTCGATCATCAACTTATCCGGGTCGTCTGTGGTATCACACAGACTATTATGCTTCCTGAAGGCCATAGCCTCGATAAAGCGCGCAGGATAAAGGGAATTGATCAGAAGCTATTTCCCACCAACTTCTCCGCTGTGAGCCCAACGGTAGGTAGGTGAAGACAGTCGGCTATGGTGTGGATGCTTTCTGGTCATCTCCGCTAAGAACTTGTTTTGTTGCCCTTAATGGGCACCATTAAGCTGCGTTGGCAGCTTGGCAAGAAGTCATGAGTCTTAGAATGGCACTTCCGTCAGAAGACCTCTACCCCACAAGTCGATGATCTGCATCTAGGGCTGGGACGATAACGCCTAAATCTTGGTGCGGGCCACCAGATTAGCTGGTACGCCTCAAGTGCCGCCGCATGGTAGCATGGATGTGCTTTTTTGCTGGACTCACTGCCTTCAACCACTGACTGAATAGAATACCATGGAGAAGACAGTCATGCGAGACGGTTCTTCGACTAAACCTCACCTCTCGGCGTTTAAGGCTCAGGTGAATCAATTCTAATCCTGGAGAGAAACCGACATGATGCTAATACCAGGTCACTGGATCATGTAGCTGCTCGCAGCAAGTTAACAAGTCACCCTTGATAATGTGGAAGAGCAAACCAACATCAACCGGGGATTATTCGATGAGCTCACTCGCGCATAACAGGCCGTTGATCAGATATCTTCCATGAGGTTTCAAGTGACCTGACCAGGCTGGAAGCGGATACAATCGGATGCAGTCTGTCTCGGGGTTGACAAAGAGTCAAGCCAATCAGTCTCTATAGCTGGTTGATTCAACGAGGCCCTTGGAGAGGTAGTTATATGATGATGTCAGAGTACATGGTGTTGAAAGAGATGAAAAAGCAGGGTCAAGCAGAGAGCATATTCCTGCCAGGTGATGGCCTCGGGTCTACCGATTAGGTAACCAGACTTACCTTATATATATTCTAATGTAGAAACAAGGAGGATAGAACAGACAACCGCATTCCAAGATGATAGACCGACACTCATAGTTCAAGATGTCATTATAATTCCCGAAGAGAAGTATACACATAAGCAAGCCAGCAAAGCATAAGACACCAAACCACCGTAACTCCAGATACATGCACAGAAATATAACATTATCATGCCGATTTTCATTTCACACGAGAACCCGTGAGAAGCCATGACTCAAAGGGGACCCCCCGCGCCTGCTGCTTCCCATTCTGCTGGGAATTATACAGCACAGGCTCAAAGTCACAGGAGGCAGCGTACTGTCTAATCAAGTGTCTCCAATAGCACGACTCCGCCGCCGGAGTCAAGTATCGATCACGAAACGCTCTCACCGCGTTATCGGCGATCCTTTCCGCAATCTCAGGGTTATCAATGAGGAAGCTGATCTTCCGATCGAGGTCTGAGAAATCCCGCTCGACCTCCACGTAGTTCGCTTCAGGACCAGACGCAACCAGCGCCGCATGGTGCGCCTCTCGCCAGACCAGCTTGTGCGAGACGACCACCGAGCGGCAGTTGAGCAGGTACTTCCCGCGGCCGGAGAAGCTGCGCCCCTCCGTATGTGCCAGAAACATATACCGGCAGTGTTCCTCCATCGGCAGCAGGTTGTACCGAACATCATTCTCATTGTCCCAGTCGATAACCCGAATGCTAGCCCAGCTTCTTCCCTGCGCTGCTTTCAGCAGTTTCCCCCTGACCTCGGGGTTCGTCGCCACGCTGCCGCGCCACACGAGCTGTTTCTTCTTCTCTTTGAATTCCATTCCGGGGACCAGGGAGCCGTCGGGGTGCACTTCGCCCTCGTCCACAGCGGCGATGCGCCTCCGAATATCCTTGTACGGGCCAACCTTGACTTCCGGCCACGCCCAGTACCCAAAGTCCGGCATGAGCCAGATACTCTCGTCCTCGTCGCGCTTGGAATACGACCAAACAGGCCCTGGGACATTGCTGAAATCATCCGCCGTGAATACAAACTCGATATCGGGCAGACTGTGTCGGTCCGGAAACGACTGCAGGGCGCGATGCAGGGAGTTCAGTGTTGCCTTTGCTCGGGAGTACGTATACGGCTGTGCCGCGTAGTCAAGAATATACAACTAAGCCACACACTGTTAACAAAATGCGGTCACGGATGAGTAGACACGCTGTAAAGAGGAACGACTTACCTCTCCCCTCCATATCGCGGCCCGCACCATTCCGTCCTCGACCACAACATCGTCCACCTCCTTGAACGTAATCGGTCTCTCCTTTCGCAGAGACACAGTCTTCTCAATCTCGACAAAGAGTTTTGGAAACGCTATCTGACACTGCTCGTCCGAAAGACCGTGGTTATCCCCATCGCGCTGAACCTCAAACTCCCAGTCCGCGTCGGTGCGGTTCGTCGAGGTACAGTGAGGGCTTGGCGGGGTCGTCTTCAAGGAATTCTTCAGAGCGTATTTGGCATAGTCACTTGAATATTGAGATCCCAGGATAAGGAATGTGACGACGATCATTGAGATTGCGGCGCCCGGAACCAGGAAGCGGGTCCAGGGGGGTTGTCCCTGCGTCCAGCGCATTGGGATATACTCGTACAACAAAGTAAGATATATATATATAAATTGATGATAATGTATGAGCAGACTCTGGACAGTAAAAATTGAGACCTGAGAAAGCACTGGGACAATTGGCCGTCCTCGCTTATCGAAGCTCTATCGCTTTCAGCATGATAAACATGTGGCTGTGTTACCATGGCAACGGCCACTCTTGGTATGATATCATCAGAGTATAGGGCTACCATTTGTCTCTTCATGGATGCATTCTTTGGAAATTAAGGACTATTACAGACAATGGCACCCTGGCCCAGAGGCCTAGGCTTTCGGTTATATGAACTGGTCAAATCTATGTGTCAGAACAATATATCTCAAGTATGTACAAGGGGATCCGAGTGCCACAGTAGCAGATGTATGTATCCAGGGGTATCTCAAAAGGAACCAGGAAAAAATGAAACAGAGGGTGCAGTCAACGAATGCTGTATAGACGCCCGACCCTAAGCTCAACCAACGAATAGAAACGTGGGAAGGAATAACAAAGTTGTTGCGACTTGAAAGGGTAGCCAGTTCAACAGGACGGTAGAATGTACAAGTGGCAGCATGAGTCAATAGCTCCGCATTGGGAAGCCATGCGCATCGAATATCATATTAATTTCCGTTGGGTGAAGCACGAGAGGCGCCGTTGCTAAAGTAGCTCTCGTCAATCTTCAAAATCCATTCGACCTTTTGCGCCTCTGTCCGCGCTGCAAAGAGGTATGTGTTTTGCGTTCCATAAATTGCAAATACGTTGGGACGGCCTTTTGCAGACACTCCGCTGTCGGACCCGGAAAGCAGTCGTGCAAAGTCCGGATCGTGATCGACACGAGAGTTGCGCAAGTTGATAGCGTTGATCTCATCGCCGTCCGGAACAGAGTATATGTGGAGATAGGGTCGGCGGAGTTCGACAAAACGTCGCACCCAGT